TCAGAAATAGCTCCAAATTGTCCATAATGCCTCAAATTTATGTCATGTCTTCAAAGACAGAGTGGGAAGGTGATCAGAACACTCTCTTTGGGAAAATATCCTAGGTTGCAGAGCAGTCAGGGAAGCTGACACAAATTAAATTTACTCTTGGGTCTCATGATGATTATCTGGCTCTTAGGAGTGAGGGTCAGCTCTTTTTAATGTGCACTTTCATAAGTCATGTGAAGGAAAGATGGGTTTGTTTGCAGCTTCTTGGAAATGGTTGTTTTCTCCCTTTGTCTCATTTCACACTCAGTGCTTGCAAGAGACAAGGGCCCTTTATTTTGAAAAACTAACTGCAAAAAAATCCCTGAAAGCTCATGAGCTCCATAAATGCTGATGCTAGCAGTCACATTGCCTGAGTTATTAGTGCTAAATAAATCAGGGCCAAGATGTAGTATCACACACTGCCTCCTAACTGCTTGCACTGCTTTGTTGTCAGCACTCACCCTGCCATGGTTTTGCCTGTGCCAAGCAGCACTTGCCAAGATAACAACCTGGCACCCTTTGGGAGATAGCAGAGGGTAGCAACATTTCCCCTGGGCAACATGGACACAATTGTACCAGATTAGGCTGAATGTAGTGTCCTTCAGCAGTACTTCAGCAGCCTTTGCACCCAGGCTGTGCAAAGCACATCCTTTTTGACTCTGAGTACAGCTGTAACAGTGTGTCTTGCACTTTGAACTGAAAAAAAAGACACAGAACTTTATCTGTGTTTTAGACTGCAGAGGCTCTGTGGGAGACCAAAGAGACCAGCAAGTCTGTGGATGCAGCCAGTCTGTGCCATTTTACCAGAGAGCCAGGGAATGGTCCCTGCCCCTGTTTAATTTWTCGGAAAACAGAGATTTTTCTCAAAAGCTGATTGGGGTTTCTTATCATGGAACTGGAGCACTTGTAGTTGGCACTAAATAGTTGACCTCTTCCTGTGGCACAGAAAAGTCCGAGGCTTGCAGCTTCTGAGGAAGCTACAAGAGATGTGGCCAGAGGTTCCTTCTAGCCTCCTGGAAGACACTGTACCCCATTAGGTCATTCCTGTCTGTATTCAGTTGGCAGCGTGGAGAGCAGCCAGCTARAGAGCTGTTAGTGGCAGCCAAGTCCTGTGCTTTTCTCATCCAGTAGTGGCAAGGAAAACATAATATGGGCCTTCAGAACCCTAAAGAAAGCTGTTGGGAAAGGAAAGTAGCCAGCCTTAAGAATCAGAAAAGCCTGCTGGAAATTGGAAAAATAACACCATTGCTATCCCATTCTCTTAACCACAAACCTCTCCTTCCAGCTTCCAGTCCAACATGGTGAAAGACCTCAAACAACCTTACCCCTTTCTTAGTTATATTAATGTATTTGGTAAAATGGACAGACCATAATTCCTAGGTAGCTGCATTTAGATGGTCTTGTTTTGCACTCCCCTGATAGGTGTGATTGGCAGGGAAAAAAGTCAGATTTAGCTAGAGCTTCTTTCTAAAAATAGTTAATCAATTTCAGTTCAAGGCTCTCAGGTTACAACAAAAGAAATTTTTTTTCACTTGGGCACATAATGAGCTTGGATAATCAGTTTTACTGCTCAGAAGCAATGAATCCAAGGGTTGAAAAGAAAAGGAATGCTATTAAAAGGGATAAAATGGCAACTCAGCATAAAAATTGGTATGCCTGTTCACTAAAATCAGCAATAGAACCTTCTTGTATTGTCCTCAGTGTAACCCTCTCCTGCTYTGCCCAAAGCTGAGAAGCCTATTCTCCATCTGTAAGGAGTTGTTGTTCTTAAACCTCTTAAACTGTTTCCAAGTGCATTGATCCCACCCCCGACACTGGATCACTGCTCTTCCAGCTTTAGTCAATGAAGCTTGGCTCTGTCAGAGAGGAGTCTGTGACAAGAAAAACCTCAAAGTGAACCCCGAGGAACAGACCATTTGAGTTTTGGTTTTGTTTTTTATCTTTCTTGCACCTTGGCTCCTTTGCTCCCTCACTATCTAGTAGAMCACCACAGGTAATTCCTAACCCTCAAATCACCATTCTCTCTTGATGAATAAGAGTTTTAAATACCTTCAAATGTAAGACACTATTGTATTTTAAACCCAGTGCCTGAGRGTGAAATCCACTGCAGTCAAATCACCTACTCCCTTTTTGTTGTGATCTCTCATCACTTCAAGCAGTGCTGGATTTCACTTTTATCCCATTATAGGCAGGATCAGCAGTAAGTACTCCACTCTTTTAGGAATATTGGGCTTACCACAGGATAGATGTAGCTCTGAATTTAAGTTTTACTTCCGTGCAAACTTTACAGCACAAAGGATTGAATTGAACAGTCRGCTGATGACTCTAATAAGAGTTTTTGCAGTGTCTGTCTTCTCTTCTTACAGTTGTTACCATCTCTTTATATGAGCCAYTCAAAGTCATTCACAGTAGAGATACCAAAGGTTGGAATCATTCAGGATAGCATGAAATAGGCAGAGGTCAGAGGGTTAAATGAAAAGAAAAATGAAATATTGTTTGGAGAATAGGCAATCTTTATTAAAAGTGGTATCCTGCAAAATGACCTTGCCTCAACTGCAATAATKCATAAACCTGAACTGGGAAGTAGCCATTACTGATAGAAAAAYTTGTGAGGAGAGTGCTGCAGAAGCTGGGGTACAAGTGGTCTACTGTATTTCAAATCGTTTAAGTCTAATTATCTATATTTCAAGTGCGTTGAGTATTTATAGGTGATCTACACAGTTTTTAAACAGCAATTTCGGTGAATAGTTAAGCTGAACCAGAGAAAAACCCACATTTTATTCCAGTTTCTGACTTGTCAAATAAAAACATTGGCTCAGAGCTGCCACCCAATGATCAGACCCTGTAAAACCACTTAAATACGGGCTACCTGTGTTGCAAAGCACTGCGTCCTCCGAGATAACACTGTGCTGCATAAAAAAGGCAGTGAAAGGCCATTTCTCCACCTCTTTCCACTTCCCTTTACCAACACCTGCACATTGTCTGCAACAAGATCCTTTGCTTAGAAATTTTAATTGGTTAACCTGTTAACTTTCGCTTTGTATTTTTTTTTTTTTTTTTTTTTTTTTTACCTTCTGCGTTGATTTTCTGCTGGTTTATCAATTTGAGTCAGTTCAGACTGTGGTCAGGCTAGTGCCAACAAAACAAGCAAGAAGGAATGAACTGTTGAGAGCCGAAGAATGGATAGAGGGGTGGATTTCAGCTGCAGTGAGCACGAGCACTTATATCAGCTCTGCTCTTGTCTAACTGCATATGATGTGATACCTGGAGATTCCAAAGCGGACTTTCCATGTGCATGTTTGGATATCCAAAGCACTCTACAACACAGAGTGCCACACAGGAAAATGCTTCTTRCCAAGGTTGCAGCTAAATTAGTAATTGTGGCTAGTCTGTTCAGCACTCAAAGACTTCAGGTATKGATTGTCCCAGCAACTGTGCTGCCTCACTGAAAGCTGTAATCCCAGTTACCGCCACAGCTTTCACCTGTCTGAAAGTGTTTGTCCCTGGCTAAGCTGTACCATTTGGCACAGCAAAGAAGATGAAGAGGGATTGATACATCTATGTTCATTTGTCATCAAACGGCTGTCACCCATTTGAGTGTATGACACAATTCCAAGTATTTTATATGATTTAAGTGCTTATAAAGTATTTGCATTTGTAAAGGGTGTACACAGTGACTTCATTCCACTGCAAGAGGCAAATACCACAGTTTGTGSACGGTGGTGCACCAAGTGGACCTTTCAGCCCATTTCGCTTTTGATCTCCTCTCTTCATGAGCCCTTCATGGATAGCAAAAGGGCATTTGCTTCCAGCTGAACCACAATCCTGCCATCTGCCTGCTTGCCCTAGAGTCTATTTCTAATGGCTAATAGGCATTTTTAATGTCAGTAGAAACAGATTTGTAAATCTGCGTGTGGATTCATCCCACATTATGTTGTCTATTAGCTGACTGTGCCCTGAACTGCCTGCCTCCAGTATGCCAAACAACATTGGTCGATTTCTGCTCAGCTCCGTGTTTTCTGGATTWGGACCTGCTGTGGTCTCAGAAGACAGTGCTCATTATGTGCCTGGGGTTATATTGGCCATCAGTGCTGGATGCAACACAGAGAACCGGCTGTTCCTACAGAGCTGTGCTGCTCAGCAGAGGCGAGAGCGGTGTGTGCTCACACAGCAGCCACTTAGTACTGATGCACAAAGCAAGCCCACAGGGAGGTTCCTACAAGCTGCAATTTGGCTGGTGTCCTTAATTTGAAAGACTTGGACATCTGCCTGGAAGTAACCGAAGTCCAAATGGTTAATTATTGGTGGTGGAAAATGATTATCATTTGATTATCATATTAGTTAAATTTTAACCTCCTTCACTTCTTTGTTAAAGTCAGCATACTGTTATCTAATCACCATCCAGTGGTGAAGAATTCTAATTCTGTCCCAAAACAGTTCATATCATGGAGCAAAGCATCAATCTTCCAAAATGGTGAAAGCTTAGGACCAGATGGGGAAGATCAGGGCATCGCTATTCCCAGWACTGTACTTTGTGATTGCTGCACCAAATTGCTACACTTTGGAGCTGGAAGGCAGAATCCTGCAATAAAGCCCATTAAATTTGTGAGAAAAACACATCAGGAAGCTCTAAAGAACCTGCTCTAAAGACTTGGATGGTTCTTACTTACTGTCCAGACACACTCTCAAACTTTAGGTTGTACAGACTGGATGGTGGATGCGCATGCTTTTCTCTGAGAGTCACTTACCTCTGAGTTAGACAGGGCTGTCAGGGGCAAGTAGGCCTTGTGGGAGCTTCAGTAAGGGTACATGCACATTGGGGGGTGGTTTGTGCAGTGGAGAAGTCCTGAGGCTTCTTGCAGCTTTAAGTTGAATAAGCTCCTTTAAGTCTTCTTTAAGTTGAATAAGCTGTTGCTTGGGTTTTTTTTTTTTTTTCCCATTGGCTTGGCCTGCAAATTTTTTTTTTTTTTTTTTTTCCCATTGGCTTGGCCTGCAAATAGTGTGAGCTTTTGTGAACAGCCTGATGCCTCTTCTTCTCAGGTGAATTTCCATTTGCTTAAGCACATTTCTGCTGCTGGGATAACCTTAGTTGGTTGCCAGTGCATCTTCTGTACTCTCTGGAGTGCTGGGGCAGCAGTCAAAGTATTATGAATTTTCTGGAAAACATGATTTTGCTCACACACACACACACACGCCCTCTTCCACCATGCCCTCTTATACCACTCACAGATCCTGCTCCAACTTAYGTGCTGAGCAGATGAATTTCTGTGTGGGGTTGTCTCACCACCACATCCTTCTGCAAGGGTATGTGGCTCACACACTAATAATTCCCACTGTACTAGTGACCAACAAAGTGATTTCATTCTTTTTTTGCATTCATATTCAGACTTATCTTGCACTGCTCTCCCTAGAGATGCTTTAAAAGAGAGGGGAGAAAGCACCAGGAACCAATCTGTTGTTGCCAGCTAGCAAGCAATGAGTTCAGGTTTCAYAGGCAGGTTTATTGGGTGGCGGAGGAAAAAGACTTGTTGCTGAATGCTTTCCAATCTTCAACCTCCATCTTCTAGGGGTTGTCTTTTTTATTCCCTCCCATATTTCTCCTTCATTGCTCTCAGCGTGTTAAGGTCTAGGAAATATTTCTCATACCATCTCCCTGTAAAGAAGGCAAATCATTGCTCAGTTACAGCCTCCCTCCTAATGCTATTATACCCCAAAGATTATTCTGGCTGTAGAGMTTCTCTCTTGTTAAAATGCCAGTTTCTATTTCCCTTGTGTCTTTGCCCAAATCCACCCTTGGTCCTTGGTAGAAGAAGCACCCATTTCAGGAATTCAGCAAGAATTCCTGGTAGAAGTCGTACCTAGCTCACTAATCCTCCTTCCATGCCAATGCCTGGGATCTATGGTCGACTTCTGAATTACATCAAGGGTGTAGGAATCTTGTGTCAAGCTTTGGCACTTCAGTGGCAAACCTGCAAGGAATAGCAAATAAGGAATTCTAGAAATCACCCTACTGCAGTCCTGGAATGGAGCAGGGGAGCAACACCAGCAGTTGCAAGRGCTCAAGAAAAGGCATGTGCTGACTGCAGTACCTTTGATCAGGTTTGAGGCTGGGTACTGAACAATAGSTTCAGCATCACCCAGGACGCTGCCAGTTTATCTGCTTGTCATCCTCAAGTATGAGATACACCCAGAGGGTATTGTAAGGTATCATATTTATTTGTATCCTAGTGCCCTTTCTCTTGTCAAGTGCCTACTTACCTCCTGTTGAGTGTCCTCATCCATGTGAGTAGCTTCCTAGCAGGCACTAGCAGCACAGCTCCACAAAACCCTCACCATCTTACCACTCCAGGCCTTGTAGATCTCTTTTTGTGCCACRATACTTAACAAGGAGCTCCCAACTGTGACTTCTCTTTATATCCCCTCTTGACTTCTAGCCACGAGGGGGCTTTATTTTATCTCTATTCCTTTCCTCATCACCTTCTTTTAATCATACCTTTGTCTTGACAATAATGATCTTCAATACCCAGTAAGATCTTGTCATGGMACATACTGTATAAGGAAAAGGAATTTGCCTTATGCTGGTACATGAGAATGTAGAAACAGGGACAATTATTTCAGGTTCTTGGATGAATGCTCMGTTTCCAATATTTGTTTAGATGGCAGGATCCTGGGGAATCTTGAAAACAGAGGTTTGGGAAAAATATTTCAGAGCCCCACCTGTCTAAAAGTCTGGAAGGTAAATAATGTTGGCATTGTAACTGGAGGTAACTAGCAACTGGAGGTGACAGGAAACATTGACTTGCAAATGGTGTCCATTTGGACAGATCTGAACAGGAGGACAGGGGTTATGATTCACATTCACTTTTTCACACCTTGGGAAAAAAAAAAGAGTGAAAGAAAGGGATACAATACATAAAATGGGAGGGTCTAGATTCCAGTTCCTCATGTACCACAGACTGGAAAAGCAGAGACTTTGGAGAGAAGGAACAAGAGGGGAAAGTAAGTATTACCKATGTTCAGATCTCCACCCACAGCAATGTGGCTGCCCTGAGCACTGGCAAAGCATAGAAGAACAGCTTTGAAGGTCAGGGATAGGTGGTGTGTCCCCTCACCTTGGTAAAGATTTGCGTTCAAGTTGAAACTCAGCTGCTGGTAATCTGAAAGGGATGCCCAAGTCATGGAGTTTTTTGCCAGTTCAGCACAGTCACTGAGTCCTTTCTGTTCTATTTCTAATGCTGCATTGCCTTGAGCTTGACTTTTCTGAAAACACGAACAACAGGAAAACTCTATCAGTCCACATTCCCAAAGTGCAGCAAACTCCTGGCATTTCCACCCCTGTCTAGCTCTTTGAGCTGTGACTAATCCCTGGGACCTGGGTCTGTCCTTGAGTCTCCCTCTGTGGCTTCTGTAGGCATTGTATTTGCACAGGACAACTAGGACAAGAAGTGTCTTTGCTGCAGAGAGAATGTCTGTGTAACCCTCTGTCATGTCCTGCTTATYGTGTGTGTTCCTCATCCCAGTGGGACTTGACAGGTTTAGCCCATGTGAAGGCTGTGACTGGTTAAAACTGAAGYCATGGCCCATGGTTGTAAATATGGTAATTGTGCGCCTGCTGGCACTAGCAGCAGGACAAACTGGATTTGGATCAGGCAGGGATGTATGTTTGGATTTGTTAGAATAGCTCAGGACATGACACACCTTCTGCTCTTGAGGCAGTTGTGGGAATTGAAGGCGCCAGCCCATGGGGTAGGAAAGCTAGTGCTCCACCAGGGCTGCCTTAAACCAGGAGCTTGGGTTTTCCACTGTGGCAGGTCTTTGCAGCACTATATCTTACACAGTATTGGGATCCTGAAGCTAAATCTATTGTATCAGTCAGACTCGAGGCGTCAGTGCTGTATGCTCTGCGGAACCTCTCCCAGAAAAAGGAACAGGGCCACAAGAGATGAAGAGAGGAAGCCAGTCCTGACTCACAGAGAATGATCTGCTTTTCTCTGTCCTTCTATTTTTCTTTCTTTTTATGGCTCTTTTTAAAGAAGAGCCATATAGTTACACATGATCAAAGTGCAGGAATCTGCTGCTCAATAAACTGGTGTGCTAACTCCCACCTCCTACTTAAAACAAAAACATGTCTGTTTGTTATTATTACTATATCCAGTGAGAATGACAAAATGACACCAAAGCCTGTAACTGTTCCTACTTTCTAGCTCGTAACTGTATATGATGTTGTTGTGACTATTATATAAACTTTGCAATTGTATGTGATTGTTATTATTCATTTTACTTCTGACCTTGAAGGTCCAAAGTCAAAGCACTGCTCAGAGAATCCTACATCTTGAGGCCAAGAAGGACTTTAAAGCCATTTTACCATCCTCCTGGATAACAGAAACAACAGAAGTATGCCTACTTATGCCCTTGGTAAGCCAATTCTTTGAGAGACAATGGGCAACCAATCAGAAAAGATACCACTTGATCAAAGAGCTAAAAAGGACTAAACTTGATCTTTCTTTCTGAATGAAATGTTTAGCATAGCCTAACATGCTGACTTTCCTGTCATGCAGCCTTGGAGGAAAGAGGGAGCTGTTTTTGCCAGACCTAAAACCTCCTCAGACAGGTGTGGGAACTGGCCATTCCCACCAGCCACCAGACATGGCCAAGAGTGGTCTCACAGATCTTCCAGATTTGACTGGGTCTCCAAAGTATGAGGAGGTTCCWGTGAGTTTCCACATCTGAGGAGCCCCGTGTACGTGAAAAATGACATTGCTCTCTCTCTCTCTTTTTTTTGATTAAAAGAAATCCAAAGATCCATAATTTACCAGGAAGCAAAGCCTCTTCCATAACTACCTCTCTCACCTGGTCCATGATCCCTGGTATGGAGACTGGTGAGTCATACGAGCAGACACGTCCTGCTGAAGTCCAGGTATGGAGATGGGATGAAGGCTGAAGAGCAGAGATGGTTGCTAGGGAACAAGGTCCCTGCCTCTATGACCTGTGGGCTGGAGCTCCATGGGAAACAGAATTCAACAAGGTGTAGAGAAGGGGTATCCTTGCTGACTGAAAAAAACAAATATGGGGCAGAGTAAAAGGCTTATGTCTCATGAAATACCTGTGCCCTAAAGTTATCATCACACACACAGCATTTCTTGTTGGGACGTTGTTGCTGCTTACCTGGAACACCAGTAGAAGGTAATAATCAGTGGGCTGTACAAGTTGAAAGCATATATTTCTTTTTGATGCCCCTTACCCGGACCCCAGGGAGGCAACACAGCTCCCTGTGGGTTGGGTCCAATTGCCATATGGACGAACCCCCATTTTCCACATTAGAATGGAAAGATGGTGGCCTGATAAGAAGACTTACACAGGGTCAATGGCAGAACCACAGCTTGGCCCTCCCAAGTCCAGTACCCAGTGCTGTATTTTAGCACTGGACCTTTCTTTCATTCTGTTCCTGATTTCTCATTTCAGGCCACTGGACTTTCTGCAAGTCTTCAGGCACAGAGAGTAACTCTCTTTCATGTTGCAGAGTTGCTTTTCCCACCCAACACAAGCAGGTCGCAGGTAACAAGAATTAGAAATACAGGTGCATCATCTAAGATTTTATTAATTGTCAAAAATCAAAAGTTCAATAAAAACCTAATGATCATTCTTCGAAAACTTGGCAAAATACAAATCAACTGATGTWTTCTTTACTTCCACCTCCTCCCTTTTTCTTTACCCTGGGTTAGAGACAGCTACCAGACCCTGTTGGCCCAGACAAAGCATTCCCTCTAGGCCTTGCTGCGCTTCGACTCAGAGACCTTGTAGTGTGGTGGGGCTCGGTGGAACCACTCGGACCAGGAGCCATCGTACACGGCCACATCGCGCTTGCCGCACAGGAAGGCTGCCAAGGCAATCTGACACGCTGTGACACCCTTGCGGCACGTGGCCGTCAGTGGCTTCAAGAGATCCACTTTCTTTGCACGGAATATTTCCTGGATCTCTTCAATACTCTTCTCATGCCCTGTTTCTGATAGGAATGAGTGGAAGGGTATGTTCACAGCGCCAGGGATGTGGCCAGATTCCAACCCTGCAAGAGTGAACCAGAAAAGGAAACATAAGCAAGGACATATTAACGTGGGTGATGAAAAGACACCCACAAGACATTGGAGACATCACTGCAGASAACCTCACTCCCACCAAAAGACTCATTTGTTCCATTTGATGATSAAGATGCAAAGTGGTATTGGGCTAAAAGGACAAATATTACTCAGCTTTGCTTCCAGAATATTTAGCAAGCTATTTCCTTACTGAAGGCAATGAGATACAGAAATCTGTAGAAGAACTAGACATGACAGGAATCAAAGAATCATCACAGAAAAGGCCCTAACAATGGCAGTAGGGGCACCTTTGTAACAAATAAAGCAGTGCATTTCCAACCTTCCCCTAGTATGTTGGCAGTGTGTAGTGACACAGTTTTTGGAAGGAAAAAAGCGTGGCCTGTTTGTGAAATTTGTGAAAATGGTTATCTGTTCACAGTTTATTTCTGCATCACCTTAAAATCCTATTTCAGAAAAGTAAATAATAGCAATCATAAAATGACCTTAAAGTCACCCCCATTACTGCTGAGGCAGCTATCATGGGACAATGGGGTCAGAGAAGTCATGATTTAGATTTCATATCACTTCTTATCTACTCCATGGATGAAATCAGCATGGGTTCTGTTTTTCTACTGGTGAATCTGACCACTTCAGGCAAGTTTAAAGTTGCATCTCAAAACAAGGTTTTTAGAGAGAAGCAGATCCAAAAATATGATGGACAAGGCTGTCTTCACACTCTTCAAATTTCAACTCTTAAGGTTTAATAATGGAAGCTCTTCCAATGGTTTTGAGAGGCTTTGAATCAAGCCTCATTGGAGCCAGAAATATTATGTATTACACTGAAAATGCATTTCAGAGAATGATTCCTTACTAGGTTTGAACTTCTAATGAGACAAGTCTGAAAAAAAATCACATGATTAGTAATCTGTTTTACTGGCAACTTCCCTCTTGCCAAATCATTTGGGTAACTGGTCTTGGAAGCTGGGAGAGATTGGGGCAGTGTAATCATTTGACTTTGTTACAGTCAAATAATTAAACTATACCTAGTCAGAGACTGACATCAGACGTCATAATGACACTGCAGTTTCACTGCTATGCAGAGCAGTATCATGACATGGTGAGATACAAGGGAAAAAGGTTTTGGCAGGATATTGAAGAGGATTTTTGCTCTGCTGGGCAGAGCCTAAAGACAATCAAAGCTGCCCTGAGTCAGCTTCACAAGTTTGTTCCAGATGGGCCCTGTTTGTCTCTTGATTCATCCTATCCAAGTGCCTTGGAAATACGACACAGTTGTCTAGTAGTTACCTCATGCATCCTTCAAAAGTGTTTAGCATTACTGAAAGAAGTTGGGAGAAAAACTGCTGACTTCTGCAGGGCCTAACATTTAAAAAGGAGAAAAAAAAAAAAAAGAGGCAGTGTTTTGGACTGATGCTTTCACCACATTTTTTCCAGTTCCAGAAAACAACAGTTCATCACTTCAGTACAGAGAACTGCAAAACTCGCTCTTCAATACAGTGATGACAGAGAGGAAATAAAAAATGAAGCAAAAACTGAGAAAAACTCATATATAGTTCTCAGACTGCAAAGCTGTTTACTGGAGCCTCTTATAAGGTTGGGTTAGGCTACCACTTACCCACAGAGTAAATGATCCTGACCCTATCATTCAGCTAAAGATTTCTGCAAGGCTCTGCCATGATACTGGTGATCACCCCAACACAAACAAGTCTGTGAGCACTAGGAAGCCTACTGAGAACAGGAAGTCCTGGAGGACGAACCAGAAGGGAACTCTTTCTCAAAGAAGCTTGCTGGGCCATCAATTCAGTGCCTAGATGTCCGAGGTACCGTGATCATTATCACGTCTCTAAAATAGGTTTGTACCCCTCTCCTACTGTCAGGCAGGAGACTGCCTGACAACTCACCACACCTTAACAACTCTTCAGGTAGGAGCTGAGCAGATCTGAAGAAAACACTCCCATTTTAGAGCAGTTTTGACTTTGATCTATAGGGAGACTTCCTTGCTCCAGAGATTCAAAAGCCTGTTGGAGTCAGAGACCAGTGCTTTTTTCACTCTGTGGGTGAAAGGTGGGGAATGTAGAAGCTGCATTTATTCACATATGTGGGTGTTCAGCTGAGAGAAAGGGCTGAAATTGCACAACCACAATCCCTTGGACTGCCTTAGAAGTGTTCTTGAGTGGCTGAGAAAGCTTTATTATCTCCCTCTGCTAGGTCAAGAGCAGAGAAACATAGGACTGGAAGGCAAGACTAGATGCAGCTGGAACCTGAACGGGGAGAGGATAGATCTGYGCCTGCCACAAATGAGACAGAAGACAGTCCATGCCAGATTCATGCAGTCACCTTTAGAAACTCCAGAAGGAACACTTGGATCACAGATCCTGACCCCCAGCTACTACATAGGCTACCTTTCCAAAAAGCATCCATCTCAGAAACAGTTTGGCCTCTTGTCATGAAACTTCCCACGGAAGTACCCCGTGGCTGATGTGAAGAGGAATATTAATTTCCAGTGTTAAGATCATCACAGTCAGTCTGTACACCATTTATCCTTGAGCTAACACTTCCCTGTGGCTGAAATAGTGTTTCTCCCCTGCTACTATTGCTCTAACAGAGTGATGACAAGTCCTCAGCACTCTCAACAAGTTTAGTCTCATATCCTTAGCCTAAACCCAGTAAGAGCCCATTAGATACACTTTTGTCTCTCTTGGCCACCCCAGAAACAGCTGTAGGTGTCCACCAGGCTTCTGGATAAGGAAATGGCATTTCCTAGCATCACAGTTGCTACAGAGGAGGTTAATAACTGCTGTTGCCAAGGCTAAATCACATCTGAGGTTCTTGTACCCAACTAAATCATCCAAGTCTTATCCTCTTCTATTGCTTCCAAACATGGGTCATCAGCTTGCCAGAGAAACACAAGCAGTTAAAAGTTTTGGGCTACTAAGCATTCAAGTTTGCTCTCTGTGGTGTTATACTTTCTGTCACCCCTACATCTGCAGGTGGCACCTCACGTAACGCTCCCCATGTAGACCTTCCCACGGCTGTACCAGCAGCACATTTTGGTAGCAACTCTCTATTTTCAATGTCTCAATGATTCAGAAAAATATGAAGCGAACCACAGAAGCATAATGACGGGACAATGCTGGCAAATTCCAGCCCCACACATCTTCTTTCAGTACATGCTATTCTTATCTCACCTCTTTTTCAGACATTTTCAAAAAATCTAACAGTACTTGTGCTGTTTGCCCTCTCCTCATATTGTGTTAATAAATGCCCCTTTAATGTTATGTCCAATGTATTAAAGAAGTCCAAATGGCACACCYCTACCTTGTAGGTACTACCAATGGCTGGAAGAAAAGATCGACATAACTTCCAGACATGCATGTTTCCATTTCTCTTGGCCAACCAATTCTGTTGGCAAGGAAATAAGGCCCTTGGCTGCAGTGCAAGTCTACCAACATATTCTACTTAATTTTGTCTTCATTTAAAATATCTTTTTCTTGAAGAGTTTTTTTGAAAGCCTCACAGTCTATCCATGTTAGAAGACCAACAGCTGCCTAGGTTGCACTGTACCCCCTATTCTAAATATGAGCTTTGCAATTGTTTCTGCCCCACAAAACCATGCTCTGATTAAATGTATCAAATTCTTGGCTCATGAAGTTGCAATGTCACATGACTGATTTCTGACACAGCTGGGATAGAGATTATTCATTTTCACACACTTGGGATAGAGACCATGTGCTTCACTGATCTGAGCATAGGGATATCTTTTGGTTACCCTTCTCCCTACTCTGCAGATTTATGCTTAGGAGAGAAGAAAACATGGCAGCACAGACTCAAGGCTTAGTATAATTCTGAGACCATACACAAATAATCTTCTACCTGGAATCCCTGCTAACTGCACAGCAACCTTATTTATTCTTTCTCTCCTTGTTCTCTTTTTATTCACTCTGATCCAGAGGTTTTTGTTATTTGTTTTAATTCCTCTTGCCAAGTCTCACTCAGCTTGGTGTCTGGCAATCCTTCCTCACAATTTATAACCTATAGCATGCTATCTTCTTCCCTGCTAAATCCCCTTTTCCACATCTGTTAGATTCTCTGCTTACATATTGTTTTTATTGCTGGCTATTTATCTAAGACCACAGCCCCTCCTCTCTGGCCTTCCCTTTGTGATGAAAGCTCCAGATGGAATTTCTTAATGTCAAAAAGATAAAAGATTKGCTCTGCCCATATTTAACTCCCTGTGGCTTTGGAGTGTGCTGGCTGCAGATAGCTCTTTTCCAAATGCCCCCTGTTGCCTCCTTGTTTATCTCTCTTCCATTCAAATGGCATGTCTTGGAAAGGACAATTACTGATCTTGTCTAACTTACTGTGAACATATTCTAAGGAATATTTTAGTCTGGGTCTCTGACCAAGAGATGATC